ATGTCTCATATTTGAATTTTGATAAATACAAATAATTTATGTATTGAACCTAATTAAGTTAACTTCCATAACTTCCATAAAATCATGTCAAAAAATGCTAATGTTTCTCAGTCTTGACCAATAAAATTCGTGAGTGTTCTTAACTGCAAGATTGATGCTACGTTGTTTAAATATCTTAGTCTTCCAATTGGTGATGAATCTTGCAAATTATCTTTATGATATCTCCCATGATTGATAAAACAAAATAAAAAAAGACTTCACGGGTAAATTATTGCCAACTACTTATGTGCCGAATCTTTATTTAAATACTTTTAAGGCTTAATTGCAATTATGACTTTTTTTATTTTTTATTTTTTTGGATTTTGATCTTTCATTTTAAAAATTATGATTTTGGACATTTTTTTAAAGTTTTGAGTTTGATTTTAGTCCCCTATTCCGTTTTAATTTTTTTTTATTATGTGATGCTATCTAAGATGACGTGTCAATGTCAGGTCATTTTAAAAAAATTAATTTAAGACTTCTTTTATTGACTGCGATAATTAATTTATTAATATTATTTTAATTAAATGCTAGACCCAAAGTGTTTGATTTAAAATTTTGACTAATTAATTAATAATAAAATATTAATAATTTATTTATTAAATTTTAATTTAAATAATATTAATAAATTAATTATCCTAATCAATAAAAAAGTCTTAAAAGAATTTTTTTTAAATGACCTGACATTAACATGTCATTTTAGATAGCGCCAAATTAATTTAAAAAATCTAAAATTGGATAGGAGACTAAAATCAAACTCAAAACTTAAAAAATGGAACAAAATCTAAGTTTTAAAATGGAGGAATCAAAACAAAAAAAATAATAATATAAGGGGACCATAGTTGCAATTAAGCCTATTTTTTATAGGAGAATGGTGAAGCTGTAAAGGTTTATTAAGTGCATTGGACTAAAATTTGTTTAGATTGAGATATGGGAGGATTAGGGGTGAAATAGATCTAGAAATTTAATATATCTTTATTGGGTAAATAATGTGAAAAACTTAGGTTAGATCAAGATGGATTGTAGTTTAAAGTGTTGGTGAAGAAGTATGGGAACAAAAAAAACGCTAGGTTGATAGAAATACTTGTCTTTAAGTATGGAAGTAGTGGGGTTTAGTAAGGAAGAGTGATTTTATGAAATTCTTTTTCTTGAGGTGGGAAAAGGAAAAGATGCTTTTGTTGGTGAGAATATGAACAATAAACGGTCTAGAGGGACGATGAATAGACCTCCCAAATTAAAAATTCATTAGAAAATATTTTATCAGAGTTTAAAAAACATAGTTTATTTTGTTTGGCAGAAGCAAATTTTGCGTAAAAGAGATTATGCTTATCAACTAAAAGATTCACAAATGTGTTTAACTAGTTTACAATATATCAAGTTGAACTATTAAATTACACCAAATGAACAAGCTAGTCGTATTGCAAAATAGTTTGATTCCACAAGAAGTGTTATCAAATGACTTTCAACCTCACACAAGATTTTACAATAAAAGTCTTCAAGTTTAATTCACACTAAGGCAAGGTTAACATTAAAATTTTCTATAAAAAACTACAACTTATGTAATAAATCGCTACCAACAGAAAATCCTATCAGCATGCAATTCTAGAAAGCAATAGAAACAACTTAATCATGCGATCAACTACGAAATTAAATGAGTGTGTGTGTGTGTGTGTGTGTGTGTGTGTGTGTGTGTGAGAGAGAGAGAGAGAGAGAGAGAGAGAGAGAGAGAGAGAGAGAGAGAGAGAAAGAGGAAGATGAGAATTGAGAAAGATAAATAGAAGATAGTACACCATGATTTATAATTATTTGACACATTTGTCCTCGCTTTCTTCTTAAGCCACTCTCCAATGGTTGCCCATTGAAAACTCGTTGGCCTTCTACTATGATTTGTAACAATATTACAAGAGCTCGTACAATCATTAGTCCAAATAAATGCTAAAAATTGAATTTATTCTTTCTGAGATCTTCGACTTGTACACAGCTCCACGAACACACTCTTTGCAAAATATTTACTCGAATTTTTCTTCTTAAATCTTCTAGCCCCAATAACCTCCTTCTAAGCCTTTGTCTACGACAATTTCCACATGATTCTGCTGGTATCTTGAGTATTGGTTTGTCCAAATGATTTATAAGTGTTGGAGATGAAGCACAAAAAATAGTGAAAAAATCATGTTTGATTCGAGTCAATAACACTTGGTGATTTAAGTTAAGTGGCAAAGTAATGTGGAACAAGATTTGCACTTAAAGAGAAACCCATTTTACTGTTATTCGAGTCAAGAACATTGCATATTTGAATAAAACAAGTTGTGATTCGAGTCATGTGAAGGTTATTATTCGATTCAAACTTGACAAAGGCTGAAGGAAACTTCATGATTTGACTTACAGATTGCATCATGTGTAAGTTATGATTTGGCTCACAAGCTCACACAACTTCATGTTCCTTTCTATTCAATTTCATTTGACTTAATGAATTGTGTGATTCGAATGACACATCAAAAAATCTCAATTTTTTGAAGTTTACAAATATATTTTAAGATTTTACTTGTGAAGTGACTTGAACCAATCTCAATTATGGTCCTTGTTCCAAAAACTCTAATAATTGTTCATACTTAAACACAAACATTTTGAATTATGCATACTAAAATATGGATCCAAAAATCAATCTTTTAAAGTTGCACAATTGAAAAAGAGACTCAAATATAAAACTACATATAAAGTAAAGTTTAAGAGACAATCAATAAAACCACATAGAGACATCTCCCTTAATCTATCAGAGACATGCAACTTTAACTTCCTTATGGCATGTTCCTTGTCCAGAAAGAGAGAACTTTAATAGGCCATATATGTTTTCTTTTAATGGTCAAATAATATATTACTAAAAAGGGGCAAAGTCACAAAAAGAAACAAGGCTACAAAGGCACAAGAAGTGCCAAGTCAGCAAGAAAGAAAAAAAAAACACATTAAATTAAACAAAAGAAAACAAACAAAAGAACCACCACAAACAACCACATCAAAAAAAAAAGAACTTTGTTCCCACTATCACAATGATACACCATCCAAATATGACCAAGCTAGAACTCATATCGCAAAATCCCTAAAATAAAACCAAGGCCTCGAAGAAACATTAACAACCACATATAAACAAGGTTCAGGCCAGAAATCTCGATCCGTTTTTGATTCAAACACATGATAGATTTATGAATCCAATCAATGAATGATAGATAGTTCAACTAGGTTTTATGATGAAACCAACTCCAAGCCAAAAAAAAAAAGGTTATATCATCCATTTTTTCACACTTGTTGATGCAATGGTGAAAAGCTTATAATTGCGAACATACCAGATAGTCAACACCATAGCATAGTCCACACCACAACATGCCAAATCATAATAAACTCACATCTAATCTTAGACCTAAGACTAAAGGAGAGAAAAACTTAAAAACTAATCTAAGATCCTTGAGAAAGGTCAGATGCACTCCTAACCATCTAAAAATACTATATTAGACACTAAGTTGAAAGTGTCTTTGTTTGCATGACTTCTCTTCCAATAAAATCTTCCGACGAAGAACAACCTGAAGCGTCGTGGCATCATAAATAATTATTCTCTAAGTTATTTAAGAGTACGTGAAAATGACAAAAATATTCTTCATTTTTTTAGTGTAATTATTTAAAAGATAGGTACAATATTTTGAATTGGTTGGATAATTTTAATGTCTTCTCATGTGATTTAAGGCGTCACACTTAAGTTTTTGTGGTTTAATCTTTGAGAAAAGGAAGATGCGTAAAGGTCTTCAATTTATTTGGTTGATGACGCATATTTTGTGGAAAAAGTGTACAAAGCAGCTTTTTTTACCACCGATAATTATTAACTTTGCAGATTTTAGATCAAATCAAATTATTGGTTTGGTGGTCGCTTAGGTAAAAAAGAAAAAAAGAATTTTTTAATATAATTTAAATCATTGATAGATCAAGTCGTTAGTTATTGTGGGCACGATATTTTTTAATATAACTTTTCTTGTTATGTGATTCTTGACTTCATTAAGAGTTATTTATTTATGCTTCTTGTGTTGAGATAATTTTATTTATTTTAATATATTTATTTGGCTTTTAAAAAAAATATCCATAACTAAATTATATATATTTTTCAATTATTAAAACAAAACAATTATTAAAAATATATGTAACATGTATCTGACACGATTGATTGATTATGTGTAAAACAAAACAATATATATATATATATATATATATATATATATATATATATATATATATATATATATATATATATATATATATATATATAAAATAAAAAGTACTATAACTTTGATTCTTATGAGCAAATTAAACTTCAATCTTTTCTATTGCATTTTAATGGTTTGTTTAATTATGATAATATTTTATATCAAATTTTTAATTCAAATTAAAATCATTTTATAACAAAAACATGAATTTAATTCTGGCTACCAACCTAAAAATTTACGAGTTGATAATCAATCTCCGTTACAAAATAATTGGTATGAACGCTAAGAATCATATCTTTACAAATTAAAATACGTTTCGTTAATGATAAATTTATAATATTATATAATTTTAAAATAATTTTTAAAAATAAAATTGTCAAATATAATTTTTTTTAAAAATTAATTTATAAAATAATTTTTGAAAAGTTAAAAAGTCATTCAAACAAATCCTAAATATTCAATTCATCTAAACATTTTGCAACAAAGTAAATAAATTTATTGACATATGTGACATCACAAAAAAATGACTAGTATTATATTAATCTAATAAATGCAAAAAGCAAGTAAACGTGGCTTTATATTGCTCTCTCACTGACAGCACGTTTCCACTATCGTACGTACCTACGAAGAAACTCACCTTCCAAACACAGAGACAAGATCTCTGAGTTATTTATATACATCATCTTCACTCACTGTTTTGTCCTTCATCAAATCACAATGGAAGAATCAAACATCATGCAACAGAACAACGTTACTGCTTCTCCAACACCGACAACAACATCGTACATAGGTGTTCGAAAGAGAAAATGGGGAAAATTCGTATCAGAAATAAGAGAGCCAGGTAAGAAAACCAGAATATGGCTAGGAAGCTTTGAAGAACCACAAATGGCAGCAGCAGCATATGACGTAGCAGCTTTTCATCTGAAAGGTCGATCCGCGAGGCTCAATTTTCCTGAGTTGGTTGAGAAACTTCCAATGCCAGCGAGTTCTAAAGGTGAGGATATTCGTGTAGCAGCTCAACAAGCAGCATTGCAGTTCAAGAAGAGACCAATATCTGAAGGGGGTGTGAATAGCAATGGAAACGGTAATGGAAGTGTTGATGTTCCTGCAGTGAGGGTAGGGCTTTCACCTTCTCAAATTCAAGCTATCAATGAGTGTCCTATGGATTCACCAAATATGTGGATGCAAAGGACAGAAGCAGCACTCATGTTTGGATCATTGGAATTTGATGAATCTAGGAATTATGATGTTTTTGAGTTGAGTGATTGGGAAGAAATTCAGTATGAGTCATTGTGGGACTAGTTCATTATTAATTCAAGTAATAGTACTAGATTTATTTTATTATAATAATTAATTCATGTACCCTCTATTTAGGGACCAATATATTAAGGCATCGTATTCTAATAAGACTTATTCAATGGGAAGAAAAACAAAAGGATTTTTTAATCAAGTTTTTGGTCAATTTTCTTTCATATTTTATGTGCCATTTGTTTCTTCAGATTCTTTGTTTATGCATGCATTTGTTTTTATAGTAATTTAATTATATTACAATTTTATTTTGTGGAAAATATATTTATATTGCTTATATATTTTTAAGATAATATTAATAAAATACATTACTTTTATAATAAAAATATATCTGATCTTTTAATGAATATTTGACGTTTTGATCAACTATATATATATAATATATCATTAAATATGTATATTTACATACATGTATTAAATATTAATATTTAATATTTAAAACAATTTATATGACTATTAAAAAACTTATTTTAATATATAACAAAAGTTATGTGACTTTTTTCTTTTTGGTTATATATATATATATATATATATATATATATATATATATATATATATATATATATATATATATATATATATATATATATATATATATATATATATATATATATATATATATATATATATATATATATATATATATATATATATATATATATATATATATATATATATATATATATATATATATATATATATATATATATATATATATATATATATATATATATATATATATATAACTCTTTTTTCAAATTAATTTTATAATTAAGAGCTTTTTTTATCACATGGCTAAAGTAAAGAGATAACTATGATCTTAAAAATAAAGTTTCTATGTTAATATGTAACTCAATGTCAAAGGAGGGGAGGCGTGAATCAAGAGATCAGTCTTAGTTGACACGTTGAGTTTGACTATGGAATTAACACTTTGATTGTCTTCATGGAGAGTGTGGATAACTTTGAACAAATTATTTTCAAACAAAATAAATTAATACCTTGATCAACATCGCATATTTATGATTCATATTTAAGAGGTCTCAATAACGATGACACTGTGGAATAAACGTATATAGTTTGTCGGGTCATTTATGTCTAGCGATATGCCTTTATGAATGACACAAAGTTTTGCATGAGGGATAAATAAGAGTTTGGAATAAAAACAGAGAGGTCGCAATGCCATATCCTTGATGAGGTGCGGAAACTACCACCAAAGCCAGTATGACTTGGCTTGCCATCATTAGAGTGTTTGAAAGTCATTACCACTTATTTCAATAGTCATTGCAGTTGTCGTCATCAAAAGTTTATAAATGATCTTATGCGGGATCATCAACTTCATACCTGCAAGCACATAAATCTACATTCTCTCTATTTTTTATAATGACAACACAACTCTCTGGGAGATCGTAAAAGAGAACTATATAGATATATAATTGAAGTGGTTAAACTCTTTCTCAATCTAGTAGAGTATACTCTACTCCCTCTGAGAGTATACTTCTACCTATTTGTCATGATCAAAAAGTCAGAAAGCAAAGCACATAGATCACACGACATCAAGTTGAGAAAGGGAAGGAGATGAAACACATAGGCATTTAAATTTGATGTGCTAATCTCAATGGCGAGGACCATGCTAACGATGAGAGCCTCATATTCAGCATAATTGTTGTTATCCTTTAACCCAAACTTCAACGACTTCTTAATCAATAGATTTCCTTCCCACACTACTTCGGCACCACTTTCTTTTAACTTAGAGGCATTATCTTCTAATAACGCCCAGGTTGGAGGAACCCCCTCGTCTATTGGAAAACTGAATTCAACTAGAAAATTAATGAGTACGTGTGATTTGATGTTTCCTCTAGGTATATAGTGAATGTTGTACTCAAATAATTTAACAAGTCAGAATACCATTCTTTTAGTTGAATTTGGATTTTTCAGGACTTGTCAAATGTGGTAGTTGGTTTTTACTATTATTTGATGCCTCTAAAATTAAGGCACGAGTTTCCTCGCGTTTATCACTAACGCCAAAATAAACCGTTAAATCTTCTGGTATCGAGCTTCAGCACCCTTAAACACCTTTCTCATAAAATAGACAGATTGTTGCACCTTATTTATTTCCTAGACGAGTACTGATCTCATCGCTTATTCAGTAACTAACAAATAGGGCTGGCAATGAACCGAACCAACTCGAAAATAGTTCGGAATTTGATTCGACAATTAAATCGTTAAACTAGGTTCATGAACCAAATGAGTTAAGTATGAGCGAAAAATTAAGTTCGTTAACTAAATGAGTTGAACTTGAACTATACTTCGACTCGTTAGATTCATGAGTCAACTCTATTATATATGAGAAGAATTATACTGTATTTAAGATTAGATTTAAATATTTACTCCAAATCTTGGACAAATTTAATCTTCAATTTAGTAGTTTTTGAATTAGACTCTCAAATGTATCTCTTGAAAGTTGGGTAGGTTTTGAATTAGTATATTTCGAAGATAAAGTTAAATTTCAATAGAATAACTTTTATTTTATTTTAATATTTTATTTTTAAAAAATATATTTATTTAAAATGTCAAATATACTAAAAAAATATATATATTTAAAAAAATAGTTTTTAAGTCCGTGAATCATATGAGCTGAACCTAATGAGATGAACCTAACGAGTTGAATCGAACTGTTCGTGAACTTATAACGAGTCGAGTTTGAGCTTAAAAAAAAGTTCGTGTCGAACTCGAACTCGAACCAATTCTTAACGAGTCGAGCCGAGTTAAGGTGAGTTCGACTCGAATCGACTCATTTCCAGCCCTACTAACAAATAAAGGTATAATAGATAGCTTTCTATTGGGCATGTCAAGATGGTAGAAGACACTATAAAGTCCTTTAAGTTTGAGAATGCCTCCTCGCATTCGCTCGCCCACACTAACTTTTCCTTTCTATTTATAGTGGCAATTAATTGAAAAATCCTTCTCACCTGCACAAGAAAAGAAACAAGATAGGATGGCTATGAGCCATGTTAGTTGTTGAACATCTTTAACATTAGAAGAACTCCTCGTATCATTGATTATCTGGCACTTGTTTGGGTTCTCCTTTATACCATTCTTGGTTAACATAAAACCAATAAATTATCTTGGTCGCACGCTAAATGAGCACTTTGCAGAATTTAGGCGCATGTTGTAGTTCTTAAATTACCCTAGTATATCTTATATGTATGATGTGTGACTCCCTTTCTTAGGTCTTCACTATTATGTCATCAATGTAGACTTCCATATTGCACCCTATCTGTTTTAAGAACATTGTGTCTATAAGTCTTTAATAGGTGGCACCTACGTTCTTTATCCCAAAAGGCACGACGATATAATAATAGTTGCCATGATTAGACATGAATGATATCTTGAACTCATTCGTGAGATTCATCTTGATTTGGTTGTATCCAAAATATGTGTCCAAGAATCTCAGCACTTTGTAGCTTGAAAATCTGTCAATCAAATGATATGTATTGGGTAACGAATATGGTTCTTTGGGAGATTGAACTTTAAGGCCAGTGAACTCGACGTGCATGTTCCATTTGTTTGATGACTTCCTTACCAGAACTACGTTAGCCATCCAAGATTGATATTTTACCTCATTTATAAAATAGGTGCTTGTCAGCTTCCGCAATTTTTCAATAATGGTTGATCTCTTCACCTCGCACACCTTCATTTTCTATGATATATTGGTTTCACAATGTGACCAATGGTGAGTTGATGGCATACTACGCTTGTATATTTTCCTGGCATATCTGAGGGTGCCCGGGTGAATAAATCGATGTTCGTCTTGAGCAGGGAACACTACTACAAAATACACATTCTGTAATATAATAGTACCACGGTCATGTCTTCCTCCGTTGTAATATATGAAATTGGATGGGCTTAATGCTTATTTATTTTTTTGAAATTCATTTTATCACGGTTGATAAACACAACCATGGTGATAGAGTGGGTGGTACAAGGTTCGAATCCTAACATCTATATTTTCTCCATTTTTCCTATTACAAAAAGCGTGTGTCACTTAAATTTATAAATAAATAAATAATTGAAGATTATTTAACCACATATTTAATATGCAACCGTTGTAATATTATATGTACAACCTGTGTCCTTCCCTAAGGAGAGAAACGTTCTTCCCAACTATAATGATGATTGAATATTTTCTTCAGTTTTCAAGAATATCAACCATTGGAAGTAATCATTGCAAATATTAAATCATCAGATCTTATATCATCAACTTCTTATATAAGGGCACGGTTTCATATAATCAATTCTCTTCTTCAAAACTATTCTTCTTAACTACATATAGCAACATGAGTTCTCCATCTGAAAATGCTAACAGAAATATCTCAATTGAAGTCACCATAGTACAACACCATGATCAGCAATCAACTGTGGAGGTCCAGCCATCTGGATCGACTGCTGTCAGGGATACACTTAGAGTTAGGAAGACCAAGAAGAAGAAGAAGAAAAAGGTGTCCAGGAAGATTTGTTACTATGATTCCGACGAGGGTAGTGAAGAAGAAAAAATAACAATAACAATAATTAATACCTCTCTAACAATTGGGTTCATAAATAAATAAAAAATTGTGAGAGATTTAACCACGATTTTACTAAAGACCTTTTTCTTTCTAACCGTGATAAAATGTGATGTTTTTTACTATATAAGTGAAAGTATATATCGTTCAGTACATATCAATCGTTTCTCTCAAATGAAAACTCTAACATATTTCACTCTTCTCTCTAATAACATAACTCTAACATCCATGTCACTCTTTAAATTTTCTTAAACCTTCATATTCGTCTTCATCAATCGCTATGATACTTTTTAATCATATTTCAGGTTCGTTTATTAAACTTATGCTTCGATTCCGTTTACATTTCTTGTTAAAAATGGGTTTTCATTTTTTCAGATTCATCTTCACCACTTTAACAAAGCGTGTACTTTGGCTATGATACATATGATTTGT